TGATCATTATACGTGCACACTCTATGTGTCAAAATTACCATATTTATTTCGTTTGGTCTAGTCATTATAGTCTTTGATCCTGTTCAATACTTCTCTTTTCTTTTTTTATTTATTGATTTAATGTCTTTTTAAATTTGGAATTATTAGTGATAAGTCATTTAATATATATATATATATATAGTTTCTAAATGAACTCTTCGGTTAAATATATCTATCACACATATATGTAAAGAAAAATCCTTGAGCTCTACACGCAATAAAACGATCAAACAACACCTTATGACATATCAGGCACGCTTGTATTACAATATATCGATAGATCAACATATATAAAGACAAAAGAGGAAAAAAATCGACTATCAATACAGATACAAATAAAAAAATTGACCTTGAATACATACCTTTAATACCTATTTTCTTCTTAATATGTTGCAACTAGATTCCATTTGTAACCTCAAAAAAAAAGAGAGAGAGAATCTGATATGATACAGCAGTTGCTTATTTGGTGCTCTATATTATAGCTTCTCAGATTTTTTTTTGCTCTTTATATAAGCTTCTGAATGTGAATGAAAAAAAAAAAGAGAACGACAAAATCGCTAGTGTATGCATATATCTATGGATCTACATATTTTTTTTTTCAAAGGTCATATCATCTGTGATGGATGACAGCATAGTTTCTCTTTAGCTGTGTCTTTCTTTTTTTTCAGTTGTTCGTTAAATATTTTCTATCATCTATCAAGTTTCTAGTAATGATAACTAAAGAGAAACAGCAGGTGGAACTTATCATTTCAACATGTATATCTATATGTATAAGTCACACTCGATTAATATCGAAATAACAGTTGAACTATATTCACTTGCCACTAGTCAATTTTGTCATATTGGGATTCACACTTGAATAGAAAAACTAATTAATACTGTCAAATTGAAAAGTCAAGATGTGATGATTATCAAATTGGAAGCATCGATCGGTCGATCGATCGATCGATCGATCGAACTCAACAGAAAAAAAAAAGAAAAAACAATTAACAAAAAAGCGAATATCGATAAAAGCATTAATGTGTAAATTGAGAATATCACTTTATCTTCGATATTATCCTCTGTTGTTTTTCTTTATTATTGACTAAAAATATGATGCGTGACTTTATGAAAGCAGGCGAGCTTTTCTTCTTTTTTTTTTCTATATTTTTTCTAAAGACATGCAGACATGAAACCTTACTACGATTATAATATAGTCTTTTTTTTTCGTATATAAACGCGAGTATACTCGTATTGAAGATTGTTTTAATCAAATAAAAGCAATGAGAGAAAAAAAAACGAGAAAGACAGACGTCGTCCATGACTCAAGCCGAAACAAGGCTCTTCAAGTATTGACGATGACAACTCGATGAAAAGATAACAATAATACATTTAGTTGCTGTTTGCTATTGTTTCTAGCGGTCATTGTTGTCTTTTTTGGTACTACTATATCGATAGACATGAATACTTGTAATGACATACATATATAGTATATGATTACTGATGGCAATTATGTAGAAAATCAAGTACGTTGTATTGTTCATTTCTATATGATTAGTATGAATTCAAGAAGGAATGAGAAAGGTGAAAAAAAAATGGTGTGCCCCATATGTATCTTCTTAATTTTAATTATTTTAAATGAACATATGAAGAATAAAAACGATGAGCAAACATTTAAACTCTCTTGTGAAAAGATGATTATCTATTGATTTCTTTCTATTTTTTATGTTGATTTTGCCGACACCATATGACATCGATAGTCTATATACATGTCTATAGAATAAGAAGAATTCAACCGCAAATTGTTTATGTGAAAATACAAAATAACAATCAATATCAATAGAACAAAGATATTACTTGCTTGCTCTGACTATCTTTCTATGCGTGTGTTTGTCCTGCGGCAATATCAACAAATGTATGCTTTTATATATCTAAAGGGAATGAATCGAAGGCGGGCGAAATAGATGAAAATAAAACGAACAATATTATGATTATGGCGTTAATTTACTGTATGAAAATAAAGTTTAACTATTTCGGTATCTAAGAAGTTAAATAAACATTTTAAAATCTGGAAATGATTTTAGACAAAAAAGAAAACAGAAAACATTATGGAAATTTGTGACATTATATTAATAGTATAGAATAACTTATACAGATGGCAAACAAATTAAAATTATTGTCACAATACTATAATGTCAAATGGATCATTGTAAATTAACCGAACAGATAAAAGAAAATGTAAAAAAACTTATCAAAAGTAAAAAGATATTGTGAGACAGTTAATGTATGATAACGATAGAATAAGATTTACAATCTTTCTATATGTGACACAAGAAAGATGAAATGTTTACATATGAAGAGGAAAAAAACGATACATCAATCAAATATGTTGTCGGACGAAAAAAAAACCATTTATTAATCTCATGAGGAAAAAACGCTCCGATTTATTCTTTATGACAATAAAAAGAATTTTTATTTTCATATATATTTTTTTTTGTTTAATGCAAGAATGAATTCATTTCATATCCGAAATCATCAGATATCGAAAAAAAAAGAACGAAAGGTGTCTTATTGATCTCATCGTTAATTTTCATACATTATTCTAACAAGTAGTGTAGCATACAATTAACACCTGCTTAGCCTTTCAATATGTCAATGTATACAATCGAGTGTCCCACTCATGATGGAAAATATCTTAACAGATATTCATCAAGTGTTTTTTATAAGAGAGAAAAAAGAATAATAAGAATTAATTTTATTTCTAAAGGTAGAATAAGTGGAATAGAATATTATGGGTGTTGTTTTATGATTAATGAAATACTTGAGAAGTTTTGTTTTTTAACAAATAAATCGAATTCTATAGGAGTAGTTTTCTTTTTTTTGAATAATAATAATAATAATAATAATAATTCAGTATTAATAAATAATAACTAAGAGAAATTCTTAGTTTTCTAGATTATTAAAAGAATATTTCTTTTTAAAGAGTATATTTCAATGCAAATGAATATTTCCCAAGAGAAACTATTAACATGTATAAGACGATTGAAATACTTTTGTCGATGTGTGATACTGTCTTCGTTTTCTTTTTTTGTCTCTAAGGAAAGTATTGCACCTTGAAACAAATATGTATTCAATGTGAGAAAAAAATCAGTTAGAATAACTATTTCGATAATGAAATAAATTTTATTTAAGAAATAAAATAAATACAGTAGGTTTGGTCAGGTTTTATCGAAAATCAAAACTAGATAATAAATTTTCCTATTTCATTGACACATTTTATTTCAACAGTAATGGATAGCGCATAATAAGCAGAACAAAATGTGTCCTTCTTTTCAGAGTACTTCCATATACATTAGAGATTTCGATAGAGAATTTCCTGTTCTACAAAACTATCGTCTTTGTTGTGTCAAATAGCTTCTTTTTTTTTTTTGAAGGCGCAAAATTTAAAAGATGAGCATCTACTCAATTGTCGAATTATGATTTCCGATTTTCTGTAAGCATCTATCAATTTGTGTAATCCTTTTCTTATCAAGGTCGATGCTAAAAGTAAAGTATTTACCATCGATGTATAAAGATTATGATACTCTTTGCGTCTATGACTTTTCTCAAAATTTTTGCTGCTATTATTCAGAAAAAAAAGGCTTGGAATCGATACTTAGTGATATGTTGATACGGATTCTAGAAAATCATATTTTTTTCTAAGCGAGACTTGATCTATGAAACGCTAGTTCTCGTGTTGCCGGGTGTAGAATTTTATTTTGAAGAAAATGATATGATGATTAAATTAACGAGTAGAAAAATTAAGTTATTTCGCATTGAAAAAGAATAATAACGATGTCTTTCCGCTAGAAAAGAATCTTTTCATAGTTTTTACTTCAAAACTTTTTCTTGTATATTTGTCTTCTAATATTCTGAAACATAGATTAAAATATTCCAAATATTGTGGAGAACATCGACTGCTAACAATCCGTTTTCATATTATTTTACTAATTTAAGAATTTGTTGATTTCTAACAGAGACGTGCTTCTATTGTTGTCCGGTTGGTTTCATCGAAGTTATATTGAACGCATAATCTTTCTCTAATTCATCAATCATTACACATTGGATGAGACAAAACTATGGAACTCGAAAAACATCAAATTTTTCTTACAGTCACAGATGAGCGGCAAGATTTATTTGTACGCTTTTGACCTAATTACTATATCCGAAGACTAAGCATATTGTATATTTTTTTTCTAGTACCACTTAGTATATGTGGTATAAATATGAGGCCTCGTTCACTATGTACAAAGAAGAAATGAAAAAAAATTCTGTGATCCCTTACTTTTGAGTCAGCTTGTGTAAGTTTGGATTAGATGTAGCAATATTTGCATTTAAGTCTGCGAGGCAAGTATCTTACTCGGGTATGTATGAATATGAAAGTAAAAAAGAAGCTCAATGACTGCATTCACGACTACCAATCGAAAGTATTTTTTAAGATCTTGCAACTGATGGCTAAATTCCTTTTAAAAAATGTCGGTTAATACCATTTTTGTTTAGTTTATTTCTTTGTTTTTCGGGTCAAATTTCTTCAGTAAAATTCCACCATAATTAAAAAAACGCGCCGATGAAACCAAAAACTATCAAACATATCAGTTTTCACTTAATCTTATCGATTAAAAGAAACCATATGAATTTCCTTTTATTGCAATCCTTCATTTATGTATTTAAGTTCTTTTAGTTGATCATCGATAAATAATACGAAAACGTATCATTTGTTCCCTTTGGTTTTTACATCAAATAAATCCCCAAAGCATAAAAACCCGTTTATTTTTTGTTTAAATGCACATATAAAACTTTCATATAAACAAACAAAGCATTCACAATAAAGATTTAAACTATATATTAAGTAGAGAGAATAATCATAAACAGTCAATTAGATCTATTTAGCACCAAATGGTACAAAAATTAGAAGTACTTGTCTCCATTTTTGTTTATGGTTCTTAATTAGCTTCACTTTTTCGTAAGCGTGACATACTACTTGATGAACGAAGTGTTTGTGTTCTCATATCAGGCATTGATCGTAAAAGATCTTGAAGTGACCATCGTAAACTAGGTGCATCAAAATAAGGTACAGGTTTTTCTCGTTTTGGTCCTGGTGGATGCCAAACAGGTTCTTGAATAGTTTTTTCTTTTTTTGTTTCTGGACTAAGTGATGTTGGTCGTTTATCTCGATAAGGTCCGGGTGGATGCCATATAGGTTCAGGTCGATATGGTTGTTTTCGAGTTTCAGGTGATAAATAAAGACGAAATGGAGGCGGACGATATTTCCCAGATGGTTGCCATTGTTTACCACCAGCAATTACGCCAGAAGCATAACGTAAATATTGTTGGAGTGAAAGTGGTGGAATACTTTGTATGTGAAAATTATTTCTTGTAGAAGTCTTTAAAATATTTTCATCTAAACGACGTGTTGCTGAGGACGATGAACGACTCTTGTTTGTTGCCATGTAATTCAATATTGAATATAAAACATTAGTATTTTTATCGATTCGTGTGAACTCTCATGTGTATCCAATAGAAGACCTTCACGATTATTGATGTGATTGGAATACTTTTTTCGTTCTCTTTTTCTTCTTTCTTTTTTTCCATTTATTCACATATTCTCACGTGAACAGAACAATTATAATCATTTTATAAAAATCTTTTGCTTTCTGATGATTTTTCTATAAATGTAGGAGTATGTAATGTAATGATTACAATCTGAGAACAAAACGAGAAACGAGCAGAGATATGGAAAAGAAAGAAAAAGAAAAAAACGAAGGTGCCAACAGTAAATGTTACTGAATTGTATCAACATGTTGCATGACTATGTCAAAATTAATCGTTTTTTTTCTTTTTCTTTTTTTGTTAAGTAGAAAAAAACCATTTAAACTAATGTTTCTATTCTACGAACAATATCATTCGGAGACGAAACATTTGGCAGATTTAAATGAGTAGAAGTAGTGTTTGAGAGAGTATTAGACGTTCTATTACGAAGAATTGATCTTGGCATTTTGGTAGTCAATTGACGAGGAGTTTGTGACGGTGATTGTGATAAATATGGTTTATTCATCTGAGTATTATCAATACTCAATGGATCAGTAGTAAAAGAATTAGAAGAAATTAAAGATGAAGATGAGATATAAGAAGTTGGTCCAGATGGAGTAGAAAGTGGAAATGTAGAACTATCACCGAAGCGATTCTGCATAGTATTATAAGGTGTTATGTTTGCTCGAGGATAATACGAGTCAGTATTTAACGTAGTAGAAGGTACAGTACTAGCTGGATCATATGATTGTGTAGTTTTCGGATTCGATGGTGTAGAATTAAGTGAATGATAAGGAGTAATATTTGCTGGTCTGTACGGTTTATTATTTTCTGGACTATATGGTGCAATATTTCCAGGACTATATGATGTAGTAGTAACTGGATGATAAGGTGTAATATTTGCTGCAGGATAAGGTATTATATTTGCTGAATTTGATGGTGTCATATTAGCAGAACGATACGGTGTAATATTTGCTGAAGGATAAGGTGTTATATTTGTTGCACTAGACGGTGTAATATTAACTGGGCGATACAATGAAATATTAGCTGGAGGATAAGGCCTTATGTTTGCTGGACTAGACGGTATATCACTAGCTCGATCATAAAGTGTCATATTTGTTGGCGGATAATTCATAGTATTATATGGTGTAAAAGTTGTTGACTTATATGATCCACTATTCGGTATATTTATCGGTCGAATATTTGCTGATGGATATGGTCGCATATTTTCTGTATTCATGTGAGAGATAGTTTGTGAATTGTTAAATGCATTAGGTGTTGTATTATATTGTTGTGTAATAGGTACTGACGTTGGTTGGGTTCGAGAAATAGTAAGTCGTTGTAAAAGATCTTGAACTTGTTTCATAAATGGACCTGATGGCATCGTTAATGGTGGTAGTGGTGAACCGATAGTTGGTATATTGATTAGTTGTGGTTGTACAGGAGCTCGAACTGTAGGTTGAACAGTTTTGATTTCATTAGCATTTATTGTAGAATTGGATTGAATAATCGATAAAGTTTCATCAGTTGGATCGATTATTTCGGCAGGAATTACAATGGTATCAAGTTTTGTACTAGAATTAGCTTGATTATCTGGTAGATGTACAGATGGTAAATAAACAATTGTTTTTGGTAAATTTTCAATCATTTCAACAGTCAGATTTGAAAATAATGCTGATGGATCAACATACTTATTAGTATATGGTATGAATGATGATTGAACTGATGACAAACATGGATTGGGTATTGGATTGGCAATTATGATATTTGGTTGGGGTTTTAGTGGTGGTAGTGGATCATCATATTCAACTTCATAGCATGATGAGTAACGTTTTCGATGTCGACGACATCGAACACGTTCAATTTCCAACACTTGTTTTGGAGGTCCATGTAAACCAACTGTTGGCTGATAATCGAGTGGAATTGTAATTATTCGATGCCGTCCCGATGATTGATGATGACGATGTCGTCGTTCAATAACAATCTCCGGCGTGATTGGTTTTTGTCTATGTTTACGATGCCTTACAGGAGAAGTGGCTGGTCTGAAAGATAATTGTGGCTGTGGTACTTTCATTAGAGGTACTATAGGAGGTCGTCGACTTGGTTGAGATATGGGAGGTATAAGAGGTCGTGGTGGTGGAATATCTGTTGCAGGTATAGTGTGTGATGCTAATCTCTCCCATAATTCATAATCACTGGGCATAATTGGCTCACCTTCGCCATAACCATTATGCAAATTGATTCTCGATGACAACATTTTTAGTATTCTTTATATAACGTTAACTTTTGAAATTGAATATTTTTTTTTGTCTGCAATTATGAACGATACGCATCATTTTAGATAGCTATGCATGCATGACAAGGCTATTGCTGTTCGTTTCTTTTTCTCACATCAACAGACAAAACCTTCAATAAAAAAATCATTTAAGGCAATGAACGAACAGGACAAAATGGTAGGCAATGTAATAGGTCACGCCAATTGAATAAATTTTTTCTACTGTGTATCTATTTAAGATCTACTAAAAGTAGTAGCGAAAGTCTTTTAGTTTCTTATAATAGACTTAAGAAAAAACTTTTTCTCTATATGATCTTATAGTAAAAACAATGCTCTACATTTCTATTGTATTTCATCATTCTTCAAGCTATATTGTAATAGTAAAATTTCAATGAGAGTTATCTATCACGATATGTGACAGTGATATTAGATCCTATTTTGTCCTTGATATGTGTTCTCTTCTTGATTTCTTCTTAGTTCGATTGAACAAAAAAAAATATAGAAACAATTTTATCAAGTCTTTATTTTATTAAATGTTTGAAATAACTTTCCTGATTATTCACACTCAATTGTATTCATTGAATCTGTTTATTGAATGGTTTTCTATAGTCTAGTCTTCTTTATTCAATCAATTCATAAACTTGTATATAATTCGATGCAACTATTTAAAAATACTTACATTTTGTTTGATTCACTCGAATAACCAAAAATTACTTAAGTGAAAAAGTTGATGAACTTGTTTTCATATTTGCTATTTGTTTTACTAAGCTTTTCATAGAAAAAAAAATTCTTTTTTCAATTCTTTTTATTAAAAATAAAAATACTTGAAATACGAAATACTAAATACAATATTAAATTAAAAATCTTTCCAAAATTCAATGAATTTTTTATAAAAATATTTCATTTCTATGAACAAAAATAAAAATTAATAATAATAAAAAAAGAAAACATAATTATTAATCGATATTCTTTTTCTTTTCATTATAAATAGCTGGCAATCGAAATGAACACATTAAACGATCCCAAAATGTAAAAAATTGTCCATAATTACAATCATAATATTGATGATGATCATTATGATGTGCTGCACCATTAATTATAGGTTGAAATAATTTTGGTACCAAATAATTTCCATCATGTATGCTAACTGTCCAAAAATTAACAAAAATAAAAAAAAATAAATAAGCTAATTTATGTAATGGAAATAAGAATGCATATAAATGATATGGTGAACTTTGAAGAAAACCATCTAACCATTGAAATGCGTGACTTGCAAATGGTGTTGGAACAATCCATCGATGATGTAATTTATGCACATGTTTATAAATAAGACGATGATGTAAACCACGATGAATAAAATATATTAACATATCAGTAAAAAATAAAAAACTACCAAATTCTTTTAAAAATGAAATAATACCTATTAGAAAAGAGAATAAATTCAAAAGAGAAAAGAAAACAAACAATCAATTTAATCCTTTACCATACGGATGTTGTGAACTATCATATAATTTTGAATAACCACGTACTTCAAATAAAAAAATAGCAATAGTAGGTATACTCATAAATGGAATGTTTTGAAGTGTAGCTTTTATTTCTTGTCGAATTTGATTCTAGAAACAATCATTCATTCGTATGAATGTATAAAAAAAAGTATAGTTAAGATCATCAATTAGACTTACTTCAAGAAATAATGGATGATTCATTTGTTCTTTATCAAATAAAAAGAAATAGCTAAAACCAGCCAAGAGAAAATATAAAATAACTGCGTGAATATTAATCAATACAGTTAATGAAATTAATTGTCGAATAAGATCATCTTCAGGCCAACCTTCTTTTGGATAGACATATGGTGTTAAAAGCCATCGATCATAAATATTCAAAACAATATCCATATTTTGCTTGACTTATATTCAGCAGACACCAAAGAAAACAAAAAACACGTGATTTTCAAAGTATCTGTTTTTTGTTTGAAAAATACTGTCTGCGTTTATCTAGCAAAAAAAGATATACGAATGTTGGTCGAATACTCTCCTCTTTATAAAGTTTCAAGATCAACAATTGGTCACACCATCGTTTTTCTTTTTTTTTCTTTTTCATTTATCACAAACAGTGAATATCAAACAACACGAAAGAAGAAAGAAAAAACATGTAACAAGAAAAAAACAACAGAACTGTTTTTATTCATCGGCGCCATTTTCATCATCGTCATCATCCAACTATAATAAATAAATTAAAAAAACAAAATAAAAATATTAACGAAATTAAATAATAAATCTATTCATATTCTTCAGTTTTCATCAACCGAAATAAATAAAGAAAAAAAAGTAAAATATACCTTCGCAGAGCTATCCTGCTGCTGCTGCAAGAGATACAATCCTCGACCAACGCCAGTATATGCTCCCGGAGGATAAAATGGTAAAAGTCGATCAAAATGATGACATGGTAAAAATGAAAGCCATTTGAACATACTGAGATTTTATAAGTCAAGGAACAAAATAACACGAATGAAACTTTTTTTCTTTTCTTTTTTACTAATCCTCACATATTTGAAGAAAAATTCTCTCAATTTATTATTATAAAAAATACATACCTCATTCATTAAAGTATTATCGAGTATTTTTTGCACAAAAGGTAAATGACGTAGACGTCCGAGTAATGTGGGAATAATATAAGTAACAATCGAGAAATATGGACTGCTATGTTCGTAGCGTGAAAGCATCGGACCGAAAAAAAGCCATGAAAACATACTGTGTTAAAAGAAAGTTAAGGAGAACAAAACAAAGAGACTACAGGTGTATATGTATATGTACAGATGAATGTGGTTTTTCACTTTTGTTTTTTCGTTAGAGTAGTGGAGAGGATTAATTTGAAAATTATTCTTACCGTTAAATTCATTTTTGTTCTAACTTTTTGAAAAACAATCTGATAGGGAAATGAAAGACGCCAATCGATCTCGCTATCCATTGGAGAAAATGAATGAACAATTAATCGCTCCAAATAGGCCAACATACTGATTCACGGAAAGAGAAAAGTCAAGGAAATACTAAAAAACCTGAACTACTAAAAACTCTGTTGAAAATTGCTTCTTATATATATTAAAAAAAGGATACGATTTGTCGGTGATTTCTTTTTTGATGATATGTGGAACGATGACATCTTCTTTAAATTTTGTTATTTCAGTCTAGGAAATAAATATATTTTATTACACTTTCTCATATTTATAAAAAAAAACATACTTCAGCTTGTTCCCATGTTAATGCTTCATGTTGACCATCTTTTCCAAATTTTTTATCATATCGATCATAGTGAAGCTAAAAATATATTAACGATTTTATTTTGAAGAATAGATATTATAAATTTACTTTTTCCAGTACAAGACCAAGTGGTGGAGCTTTTGGTATATCAATCTAGAAAAATATTAGAATAGAAAAATATCTTAAATTTTGAAGAATTCATCATGAGAAGCCTTTTCTTTAATGAGAGCACAGCAAGTAACCTTTTAATAGACTATTCCTTTTCCGCTTTTAACTTCACATCTGAATAAATTTTGAGCTGTTGTCGAAAAACTGTCTGCCAAATTTTTTATTCCTGCAACTTATAAAAAAGGCAGATATGAAGTAGTTCAGCAGGAATACTTCCTGTCTTTCGGTTACTTAGCCGTGTAGAGTGCTTTATGTAGAGCTCTTGCACTCAATCACTTAACTTCTCGTACACAATGACTAACCATATACTAGCGCAAGAGTAAGTGTATGTCATAATTTATTCAACATGCTATGAAATAGGTAATCCAACACAAACACCCGTTAGTGACTTGTTTAGAATTATTTCATATTTGATGGTATCGAGAACTTGTAGAGAAGCATTTTATTTGACATTTTAAATTATGAGTCATAAAAAGTGTTCTAATGACTGCTGATTTATATACTAGTGTATAATACTTAATTTCAAGATAGATAAGAGATAAAACGTAAAATGATACTCTACTATCTTTGTTTGATTGTCTAGATACTAGTTTAAGTAAATATTTACTTTATCAGCATTGTATGCTTGTTGAATTGTATCTCGACTAGCAATACCACGAACAATAGCAATAATGAGACCTAAAATAAAAGCATTATTAAATAAAATTCTTCTATTCAATTATAGTTTTCTTCAATATTTACTAATCATTTTTCGTATTTGATGTAACATAAAACTTTGACCTTTAATTGTAATTATAGTAAATTCAACATTTTCTGTAAGAAATGGATCAGCAATCTGAAATGAAAAACAAAATGATTATTTTATTCAAATTAAAAGATCAACTTACATCAACTGAAAAAATATGTCGTCGAGCTGATGGATCGGTAAATTTTTTACCAGATGTAAAATTATGAAAATTATGTGAGCCAAGATATTCATTTGAGACATCTTTAATTAATTTTAAAATCTCAGCTAAAAATAAAAAAAAAAAAAAGAATACTATTATTTTCATTAGCGCCAAAAAAAAACAATAGCCGAATTAAATCATCTAAGAGATATAAACGATGTTAATATCAAAAAAATTACATCAAATAGATTCAATTTTTCTTATCTATTCTATTTGGTGGTCAATTATTATTCTTATTACATTAATAACATTTATTCTATCAATTTTATGTATAAATCAATGTTCAAATGAATATATTCTACCATATCTTCTTCTTGGACATAGTTGTTTTACATTTTTAATTATTATTCTTATTTGTTATTTACGACTAGAGTCCTGCAACGGGGTCGGGTACCCGGCACCCGACCGGACCCGAAACTGTGGTCCGGGTACAAATTTGCCGGGTCGGTTCGGGTGCCGGGTATAAAAAAAAATGCCGGGTCGGGTGCAGAATTTGAGCATACCCGGTACCCGACCGGTAGTCGATGACATCTTAACAAGTAAAAGTATTTTACACTCTAGGATAGAGTCCTGCAACGGGGCCGGATACCCGGCACCCGATCGGACCCGG